AAAATAAACACTCCATCCCTCCAACTCCCAACTGGAGACCGAACAGTGACTTAACCAAGTTTTCAACTAAAACTTTAATAATCACTAACATCAACTTAGTCAGAGCTGATATTTGCTGTAACAGCAAGCTGAACTGGCTGCTGCTATGTGTACAATATACCCTGCAAGTGTCTGGGCTTTATACTTACTAAAAAGGGAGGGCTGCTGTTTTCATTTTAACAAACATTAATGAAGAGCTGTGCTATCACTGGAGCCAGTGGGAGTCCTGGAGTTAATTACACTTGGATGAGATTGTATCCAGCCTGATTCATCCCATTTCGTTTATTTTACTCGCAAAATCTGGTCCTGAAATGCACTATGAGCAAAAGACATACCTGAGAAAGCAATTTGGATTTTGTTTATGTGAAAAGTGCTGCAAACTCATAAATCACCTTTGCAATTTGGATGGGCCACTCATTCCTGAGAGGGGAGGGCATGTCTTTCAAAGCAAGGACAAACTGAGGGTGTTGACTAGGATTCTACAGGACAGTAGTACAACGTGACTAAGTGAGGAGAGGAGACATCAGCTCACAAGCTCATTTAGGGCTGCTGACATCAACAGAAACTTTCAACAAGTGGATGTTTGACAGTCAGCAAGCTGCAAAAGCTGCCACAAGGAGCTGGGAAGACTCAGAGTCCTGGCTCTGGCTATAACCCTGTTCCAACTGAAACATGATCAGCAGCTATTTTGCAAAATACTCCAGCAGAAAAGTAGTAGCATTAAAAAGAAAACCATCTGCAACAAGCTGAACAGCCACAGCTCCCTCCCCACCGTGGGCTACAAATTCAGGTATGACAAAAGGATTGTATTGTCCTGGTAGCATCAGGAATCACCCTGTGCACTTCCAGGCAAAGGTATCTTCATCTGAAAAACCAACACCTTGCAAACTTTAATGTGGATCTACAACTTTCCTGCTCATCAAATCAGATATGGCTGTTTCTGGAGGTTTTCTGTTAGCATTGTCTCCCTGGGGAATGTTAACAGCTTTCCTTTGCTCTCTGCTCATCCAACAAACGTCCTGTCCCAGCAGGAGCTCTCACTTCAAATCACAGATACTCAGTAAATCATACTCTGCTTGCAAAGCAATGTTTTGCAAGAATTCTTCAAGTTATAGTATCTTTCTTATTAACCCTTATAGTTTTAGAACAGATTTCTCCACTACTTAAAAACATTCAAAATTCACACCACTAAGCTGCAGAGTCATCAGCACTATTTACCTGTAATTAGTGTTCCATTATATTGTTCAGACAGTGTCCATATTCCAAACACACATCCAAATCCCAAAGAAAGTAAAAAAAGGCACATAAACATTAAATATTTGTAGAAACATAATCTGATATAAACAAGCAAACACACTGCTACAGCTATAAATTACAAAAAAAGAAACAGAAACTAAGCAAAAAAAAAATGCAAAAAGCAACTCTATTTATACATGTGCAAATCAACTTGCATATATGAAATAAATGAGGTTTTTATTGGCATTTTTAAACAGTGTGTATTTACCAACTTGGCCTTTCAAAGGCAAGCCTTTTAGGTTAATTTTAATAAATATGTAAATGCTTCTCTCAAGTTTTCTAATCCCATAGGAACAAGACTTTTGCAAAAAAAAACCAACCCAACAAAAACCCAAACCAACTAGGTCACATACAAAAATACAAAATTTTAAAACAAAGAATGTCTTGATATGAGAGATATGTTTAAAAGCTTGTAAAATGGTTTTGTATTCAACTTTTGACATTTTTTTTCCCCATCAATTGCAGATCAATATATTCAAATGCAGTCATGCAAAAACCTGACTTCTGAGCAAAGGAAGCTGCAAGCTCTACTGTCACACTGAAAACAGCAGCACAGTCCCAGCTCTAATGGCCTTGTTTAAGTGCAAGAATTGGACTACACCTTTATTCTGTCCTTAGGAAGGAAAACAGTTATGGAACTTGGCCAGAAGGCTGCCCACTATCCTGAAATGGGGATATAGAGGCTTTAGTAAATCAAACTGTTGAACAGTCCCACCTGGATCTGCCTGAGTGCTGATCTGCAGAAGGGTTCACTGATTTCTCTTGGGACAGGGAGTGCTGGGGGAGTTTGGTGAGCAATGGCTGCAGAGTTTGTGCACTTACAGTTCTCATATGATAGTCTCCTCTTACAGACATTTAGGCTGAAGCTGTAGGTATGAGTCTTCTCTCTAGGTTTCAGTGGAAATAAGCTCAGGGACAACTGACTCCAAAGCCAATTTGGATGTTCTGTCCCTGGCTGATGCAAGTGGCATCAGTGCTGCTGTTTCATATTTGCCGTAATGCAGTAACTCAGTTCAGCAGACTAGAGACAGTGCTACAGCAGGAAAACACAGAGCTTAGAGTAAACTCTCCCTGCTGCTGTAAAGGCAAACTTAGCATTGAGCAAAGCACTAGACCAGAAAAATCTTATAATAACAAATACCAACCCACTCCCACCTTTAAAGGTTTAGAGGCAAAATAAAATGCAGTAGGTCATGTGGACCATCCAGCATGGGGAAACAAGCAAACAGGTATTTACAGCAAAGAATAACACTACAGCAAAACCCATGTGTTTTGCATTGAGTGCACACACACAGATCCTTGTTTCCGAAGTAATTCCGTGGTTATCTCAGTCCAAATTAAATTCTTGCCTGAAGAACTTCAGGCTGAACTGGTAAAGACAAGTCCTGCTGTGGCCTTTCCTTTCAGCACCAGCTGGAAGTACATCCACTTTGCTACGCAGCAGTTTCTAGCTGCACAAATATGCACAGGTATGCAGGGGATATTTGATAAAAATACAGAATGAATTGTTGTGGCTGCTCAGACCCATTTCCAATTGTCCTCCCCCAGCTTTTCCAGGGGAGTAAGAACTATTGCAAACTACATTTGTGCTGACTGAGGCAAACGCTGAGCTATGTGAACAGGAAGGATTTTCATACTGCTTTGTGTTTGTTTTCTTTTCATACAAAACGTTTGTCTCCCATCAGAGCCCCAACCAGAGCCTCCATCAGAGCCCCCAGCTGCTCTGCCTCTGCAAAACTGCTCTAAAACACAGCTGATTTTCTCATCCTCAAGCCCAGATCCTGGTGGCCCTGCTGTTCAACATCCCCTTTTGGGATACTCAACAATTTCTCAGGCTTAGGCTCTTGTGTAGCCCAGAGTGATGTTAGGAAGTGTTACACTGTCAGCAGTGCTGAGGCAGGAAAGGAAACACTGAAAAGGTTCATTCATTGCTTTTAAATTTAAACTTTAAATGTATACTGCTCTGGAGAATTTATCCATGGTGAAGTAGCATCTCCCTTGCTTGGTCTTTGGTAGGTCACTAGATCCATCAGTATTCCCACACAGATAATGAATGCTGCTTACAAGAAAAAGCTGAACCAACCAGATATGTCCAAGAAAGGAAAATGTAAAGGATCTATGTTTTTCACTACTACCTGGTAGTGCTTGTTTACCTCAAAGAAAAAAAAAATATTTGTGTTGATTTGAGGGTTTTTTTCCAGCATGGTGAGAACATGTCCAAATTGCAAACCTGCAGACTCTGACTGCAGATTTGTTTCTCACTAATCTTAGTGTGTAATTTCCTGACTACAAATGGTGCTGTCAAGCATGTCACCTTCTGCTGACAATAACAAGTTACCTCCAGAAAAAGAAGGCCGTTTAGAAGAGTTAATTTGCTGCTCTAAAAAGATGAAGCTTGATTTGAATTCTGAACTATTGTTTTAGTCTAAATTTGTATTTGTTGTGCCTGCTAAAAAAAAAAAAGCAAAAAAGAAACAAACACCCCCCTGAAAACAGAAAAACAATCAGAACCCACGAGATTGATCAAAGCTTTTCTTTGCAGTTATTTGTCTCCTCTCACTTGATCTTCAGAAAAAATTTCTCTTAAAAAACCTAGCTAGTTATGAAGACATTTTACATTTCTACCATACAATAATTATAGTTAGCTTAGTTTAACCTTTCTATGTCATTCAGCAACACTTTAACTACTGGAAGCCGTAGCAAACTGAGGCTCTAACGATAATATTGCTCCAATGATGCTGAATACTTTTTGCTTCACACAGTATTTCTAGCAGACAGACTACAACAGAAGCATGGGCAAATTCTGAGGATTACTCTCTAAATGGGACCAGTAAACTGTGACAAGTCCATTCCAGAAATGGCAGTATGTTTTTGTAGCTTTTCCACACTGACGAATGCCACATCCCTAGCCAGTTGTCCAGTCACCAAGATGTGTCACACACTGGCAACTGCCTATTGCTCATTCGTGACACTCTCTGTTTAGACTGCTCTGGTGCAGCAGCTGTGATGCAAACAACACCTTGTTGCACACAAAGATTTAATTAAAAAAAGGAAGGGAAAAAAAAAAGAGAAAAGAACTGGGCCCAAATAACCCAATAACAGGGTATAGAGCTCTCTTGTGATTGCAAGTTCTTGTGAAGTAAACCACTTTGTAGCCATTCAAGCTAAAGCAGTACCCAAACCAGTGCACCTAGAATAAAATATTAGTCCTCCCTCCCCTGCACCCCCTCCCTCAAGCACACTTTTTTCAGTTTTCTACTGGAATGAAGTCGAGATCCCCTAGCTAACCATGATGGGGGATATCCTAGCTCGTTAAAAAAATAGAAAACACTTCACCCAAACAACAAAAACAGAAGTTTTGATGGATCTGGAAATTTTCTACAAACTATTCTGTGCAGTCATCTTCAAATCACTGTCGAACATGAAACTCATTTCTCTTTGCAAATGGATGAAGGAATCTGACGAGTTACACCGCGAACGTCCTCACAGAAAAAACAGAGCAGTTGGCTGTGCATTATGAATCCCTCCTCTCTTAGTACATAATTCTGCCCATCAATGATAGCTCTGCCTGCAGCGAAAAACCTGGACAAAAGTGCAGGAAGTAATAAGTAGCTCCTCTCCAAACTACTTACATTTTGTCCTCAACTCCAGCAGCTCTGCTGCTGCTATAGGCAGTCCTTGCAAAGCGCAACCTGCCCCTTGATATAGTCCCTGCAGGGGCAGATCCTTCTGTGGGTGGGGTGGGATCCAGCACAGCTGAACAGCAACAGGTCACCTTGGAAAACACAGTGCTTCCTTCTTCCATCAAAAGAGGGGACCAGAATATCATTTGCAGACTCCATGGTGAGACATTCGATGTTATGCCTAAAAAACAAAGCACATGCACTAAATCACTCTGGAGTTTACAGGAGGTTGGTACAGTTTTCATCCTTGCTTGCTAAAAAGAAAAGAAAATGCTATATTACATCCTAAATCAAGTATGTTCACCGTTGCAGCTTTCCAGAACGTGACTTTCTTCTCTCCTGTGCAGATTCTCTCTGCAGAGGGCACTGCAGCTTTACTGTTTACTAAAGATTAATCAAAGAAGTTGAAAAGGAAAAAAATGCTTTTGACTGTTCCCCAAGACCTAATATTTCAAGGCACCATGGATTTTTAGTAAGACAAACCCAAAGAATCTGAAATCAGGAGATCTTCTCTTGGATTTCAGCTGGGCTGTCCCCCCAGGGAAGCCAATGCCAGGCAGCCCGGGGCAGCTCGAGGTGGGATCAGCAGGACTGCAAGGATAAGGGATGCTGCTGTTCTCCTGCAGGAGCCTGGCAGAGCAGGGCCTGCTGCTCCCAGGAACCAGCCAGCACCAGCAAGCTGGAAAATGAAAAATGCCAGTTGCTATTTTCTGACCACAAAGCTTAAGCATGAGGGTAGCAATTCCAGCAGAGTCTTTTTTTTTTTCACTTATTCTGGAAACACTGGGAGCTTTCAGCATTTAACAGAGGGTTTTTTTCCACAGAATGATGATTTTGTCTAGACAGCTACAAAAGAAGCCTGACAAAGTTTTTATATGAGCTGCTTCTGAACTCCAATGGAAATTACCACTTTTCAAATAAAATACAAACCCCAAATCTTCTGCAATTTTATTCAGCAAAAAGTGGGAATAGAAAACCTGGAAACCAGATTGCCTAGCAGCCATTTGTGGGAGTCTGGCTTTGAGGGCTTTGTTTTCCTTCTGAAAGGAACACAGACATTCCCAAAGAGAGAGCACCTGAAAGCAACAGTATTTCTCTTAATGCATAGCTGGTGAGCTTTATACATGACCACTACAAGGGTTTACAGTTCTTTGCCTGGGACAGTTGTGACAAAAAGTTTGCAGAAACAGTAATTGTTAATTGCCAGGGAATGGTGTTTCAATGGGGATGTTAGCTGTGACCAAAGAGGGAGCTCAATAAATTAAAGCAACACTTTCTAAGTGTTGTATTTAAAATCATGTGAACAACTGGGAGAAATCAAACAATGCGTACCGAGTTCTATGAACTGCAGGAAAATCCATTTGGTTCCTGACCCAGCTGACTGTGCACACTTTGGATCAGTGTTACAACTTGTGCAAGGTCCCTGAGTCTCAGAAGGATCTGGCAAAAGCCATGGAATATGCACCTGCTCAGCCAGGGCTGCAAAAGGTCCTTCCCAACACAGTTATAGTCCTGGCACCTGCAATCCCTGCAGCACAAGCACCTCTGCCCAGTGCAAACAACCCACCAAGGGGCACTGTGTGGTGCACACACACAGGAGACAGAGGGGCAAAGGCAGAAATGTGAATTTTTGGGCTCAGTGCTGTACTCCACTGCAAACACACACTCTACATTGACCAGTGCTCTCAGCACAGCAGAACTGCTACCATGCACTGCTACGAAGGACTGGCAGCACCCTCAGCTTGCTGCAGCCAAACTTTTCTCTCCACCTTCCCTTCTCACAGAACTTGTACTTTAAATTTCATGTTTGGTTCAAAAACAAAAAAAAAAGAGAGACCAAATAACATGTCTGTGCTTTTAATACTTACCTAAGCAGAGCTTTGTCCTTGTTCAGATGCTGGAAGAAGGAAGGCTCACAGATGAGCTGGCTTTCCTGACAGACTTGTTTACAGGATTTTCCAGGTTCAGCCATTTTCACTTGAAGGGCACTTAGTGGGGGCCACATCACCTGCCCGTGACAGAAATCCTGCAGTGACAGATCACATTTTATTATCAGCCATTCGGTAGTTTGACAGCAATTTTCCCCATTAGTAAAATAAGTGGTTATCACCCAATCAATCATTATGCAGCTCATTTCAGTTGTGTTAAAACCAATAACTTAAGTATTTTAAAAGAATACTTTTTTAGCATGAGGAAATGATCACCTTTGACTCCTACCTGAACTGTGGCAGTATCATTCTTCCCAAGGAAGTGTCTTTCCTACTTTTACCTTTTTTAATTTATCATAAGCAACTCTAGCTAGTCTCTTTCCTTCCACACACCCATCCCATTTTGGCTTTCTCAGGGCCTGTCTCACTAACTCACTGCAGGCACAACTATTTTCATAGCAGCACAAATATAAGGAGGAAATTCTGGTGGGAGAAGAATTCCAGAGGCCAAGTTATGCTGCAGGTGAGAAATGTCTCAAGTGGCCCATGTGGAGCCATGTGGAAAGGATCAGGGGACTCAGTGTTATGCAGTCAGCTGAACTCATGAAAAAAACCCCACCACAAATTAAGATTTCTATAAAGCAACCAGGATTCAGAGAGTTTGTTTGCTCTTCTGGGTTGAACTGCTGCTAATAAAATGCTTTTCCAACAAACTGGTTATAAATAATGCCTGCAATGAAGTGTCACCACAGTGGGAAGAGGGAGGGAAGAAATGATACCTGAACACATCTGCTAGTGAAAACTACTCAAAGACAAGTTCTCATAGTCTTGACATTTAAAATGAGAAAAAGCAAAGAAAAATTAATCACTGGTTTCATATAACATTCCACAATACTCAGACTTCATTTTAACATTTGGCAACTCTCATCAAAAGGTGATCAAACAATTTGAGCCTAGTCCATCATGGTTTGCTTTCTTTGGACAGGATCAAGACTTGTATGAACAGGTCCCTCAATGTGACCCAAAGCCCCCAAATCATTTACCAGTTCTCAATACCAGTTTGATGGGGTTTTATTCAATTTAGATTTCCTTTGCTGAAGGAGGAAGTTTCCATACTTCAAGGTCTAACCATAAATTTAATATTATACAACCATGAATCACAGAATATCCTGAGTTGGAAGGATCCCATGGATTTCAAGGTGAGACAGGCCCAGCCCTGCTGGCAAAGGAGGTGTCCTCCTTCCTCTGTCTTCTCTTGCTCTTGGATGAATGTCCTCACTGCCTCTGCCAAGCTCTGGTGCTCAGCTGACTCTCTGCTGAGCCAAGTCAGCTTTCCAACCTAGCAGAGCCCTGCCAAAACCATCTTCTGCTGGGTTACCAAGTACTCCATTTGACCACATCTTTCAAAGTCTGCTTGTCTGTTCCATCAACCCAGGCCTGCCTCATGCAACAGCTCCTGAATCTGCAGCAGGGAATCCCCTACTGCTTCAGCTGCAGTTGCCTGGCTGCTGCGTTGATGGCAGTGCCAAAATTCAAGCAATCCCACCCTTTGGGTCCCACCCTTTGGGTCCCACCCTATGCTGCTATGCAGGGCAGACACAACTGTGTGTGCAGCCACAGAGCAAACAGGACCAAGGGATGGATTTAGCAGATGGCACAGATGCACCTAACAACTATGCTGGGCTGCTGGCAGGGGCAGTGCACTAGCAGGAAGGAACAGCCTGGAGTAAAAGCTGGTGTAATCCAGCTGAAGGTGGCACTGCTAAACAGGAAACCACAGCTCACAGCAGTTCTCTTACTGCAGACCCTGAAGACCTTCAGCCCAGCTGTGGATCTGAGAAGTCACAGAATTCACCAACCTTTCCTGTGAACACTGTCCTCCCTCTTGACCCTGAGCCAAGGCCCCTGAAGGGGAACTCCAGGCACCTCTTTTAAATCCTAAAGTTTCCTTGTCCCACAGAGTGGCTTGTGGGTGAGTGTCCCATCCTCTTCACACTTCAACATCCCCTGAAGACCACATTCTTGTGGTCAATGCTCCCCACACCTCTGAACCACAAACTCCATGTATCTGTTCTCCTGCTGCTTTCTCTGTTCTGCCTGCCTCTCACCACACACTCTTTAAAATAAGGGCTCAACCTTTATTTCTGTTTCATCTGACATGCTAATCAGGCACAGTGCTAAGCACATGCAGCTAATGATGATGCTTGAGCATCCTGGGAGCTGTGAAACACCACTGGTTTTTGACAATTAGTCACAGCAATGAACAAAATTGCAATGCCCTACTGATTCCCAAGAAGCACAAGGCAAGGCTCAGCCCTTGGAGGACAGGTTTGCTCCACAGGTGCTATCTCTAGATTGTCTCTTTTTCTTCCTTACACCGAGCTCCATTTCTTCCTATATTGACAAAACCCTCAACCACTAACTCAGGTAGAAGAACCAAAAGCAGCAGAGATACTTTTACAGGTTATGACATCAATACAGCAGCAAAAGGCTTTAAGTGTTTATTGGCAGGAAACTGGAAATGGCTGTGCTCTGTTAACTGCACTTCTGACCTGAAGCTGTGTTACTCCTTATGACTGTCTTTAATACCACCCACTTTCAGAAACAGGTACAGGAGCATGTCCAGTGCTTTTGAAAGCAATGCTGGCAATTAAATGACATAGCAGAGATAAAGGTTATTCCTATCTCTCTCCTGCAGCAGCCAGAACAAAAGGCAGAGCTGGCTGCTGCAACAGATCTAGCTTGGGCAGAAGTCCAAGCAAACAGAGTTTCTAGAAACCAGGAGCCCATGTAAATCTCTGCAGTTTATTGCTCCAACTCAACATCATCTGCTGCTCTCAGCTCACAGTAATGCACAGGGACCAAAGGTCCTATAAGCAACTGGTTTCCAAACCATTTAAAGCTTTAGCAATTGCAACTAAATACTTGAAAAATCTGCCCAGAGGCTGTAGCCCAACTGCAAATCTACCAAAAAGTAGCTCTGCATTTACGTGATCCTTCATGATAAAAAGGTTTTTTATGTGTACACAGTTAAAGAAGTCACATACACACTGAAAAGTTACTTTGCCTTTCTGCTTTCATATAACATCAAGGTCTGCACAGCCACTATTTCTACTTGAACAGCAGCAAAACTGAGAAGCTTTAAAATGGAGAGAGTCCTCCCTTTCCACCACAACCCAAGAGACTTACCCACAATTAAAGTCCATACCTGTCTTTCAATAAATGCATTCATCCTCTGCAACATTCCCTCACATGTAAATTCATAGGGCAAATAAGGGTCAATCTGTGGAAAGAGT